GTCCATTTCTCCTCTTCCAAGCCTGAGCTCTGGAACCGATTCTGCAGCTGTTAAGCAATATGGCCCTGACTACTTCCCCAGGGCTACTGGGCTTTCTCGAGGCTTCTGTAGAAAGCAACCAGACCAAGAAGAAACTGAGGACATGATCCAAAGGGAAACAGTATTCCAGGAAGCAATGGCTGCTTCTGACAGGGAGGTGGAGAGAAAGCTCCAAGAGTCAGCTTCCCAGGAGGAAAAGTAGCCCCGGATTCATGGTCGAGAGTTACCCTACCCAGGTCCTACCTGCACAATGTCCAGCACCATGCCTGCAGCCACAGTCCCGAAGCCTGCCAGGAGGAAGGGAAACAGCACTTGCAGCCCGATGGAAAAGGAGGTCTCCTTGAGCGGTGAGGGTGGTGCGGGGCCATGGTCTGTGCTGATGTCGTCACTTTCATTGCTCTGGCTCCCGTTCTCCAGCAGGGCGTCCTCCTCCCGAATCCCCTTGGCGTTGGCCCGAGACTCAATCACCACCACATCTACCCCAGCCTCATCGGGCCCCAGGAACTCGGAGGTCCCAGCCAAGGGCTCTCGTCCAGGGCTATCTGAAGAGCAGGGTGAGGCAGCAGGGCCAGTCCCATTCAGCTGGTGGACGTCCTTCGGCTCTGACTTAGAGGACATGACGGGAAGGGAGGAGGGTAAGGGGGAAATTTTCCTCTCTCTATCTCTCTTTTTGCCTTCTCTCTCCCTCTCTAATTCAGGAAAGAACTTAGTCTTGGGGTGAACTCAGGCTTGGATGCCGCAGGATCTCTTCCCACGGCTCTCTGCTCCTACTAGGAGCTGCAAAAACTGATCTACTAACAGGCAGCCCCATCAAGCACTGAAGCCACAAGCTGGAGGGAACCAGCAACTCCTCACCAGACCCCACAGCCAGCCACTAGGGGTGCCGATGCCTGGATGCCTGACTCTCGCCGGCCAGTGCTGGTCGGGTGGGGGGAGGAAATTTATCTGGCCCCTTTATCTTCTTTGGTTCTCAGCGGCAGACTCCTCAGAGCAGAGGGCATCCAGAGGGGAAGGGCCCAGCTACGTCTTGAGTGCCCTCTGAGGTGGCCCTTCTTTCATGAAAAGTAGCTTAAGTTCAAGTCTTTTAGAAGGCAACCTGGGCCTGGGGCTGTGGCTCCTTCCCACGCCTCTGGCCCAGCTCCTTAAGCTCCTCAAACTCCTCACAGCTCCTCCATCTCTGCTGGTCCCAGGGCACCGTCTGTCGTCTTCCTCCTTTCTTCCCGAGATTTCTTTCCTTCCTGGGAAGACCTTGTACCTCCCCAAATCCCTGGTCCTTCAAGTCACAAGAACCTGTGTGGAACACCTTATGTGGGAAGGAAGAAGACAAGAAAAGGAGAACACTATGATACAGCAAGGGACAGCTTGTACTGGGAGGCATAAAGGCAGACACAAAGCAGGCATAAAGGGCTTTCTATTTGCCTCCCTCTTTCCACTGAAATTACCCATTCCTGCACTGCAACATGTGGAGGCCCAGCAGGGGCTATCCCTGCCATTTCCCCAACCAGCAACCCACTGTCCCATAGGGATCACCACAGTGGTCAGCAGCCTGGGATGGGGAAGATGCTGTGCAGAACTTGCATTGTCTTTTCAGCAACCTGGGGTGGGCAGGGATGTCCTGGGGGAGAGCCTTTCTTGAATTAAGAATCTAAGATTATTTAGGTGTGGTCTCCTAGTGGGATCAGTTATAAATTCAGTCACAAACTCCCTGCTACACTGTAGAATACGATTGTTTACAGTCACGAGACAGCCACACGGGATGAATAAATGGAGAATCTGATCACTGAGTGAAGGTCCCCAGACCCTCAAGTGCCCTAGCCCCTGAGAAAAAAAAAAATAGGAGGACTCTCTGGGCAATGAGGCAAGCCTGCCAGACCAAGGCCAAGAGCCAGAGGCGGACGAACCCACTCCTGTCCTTGAAAGTCAACAGTGTTACAAAAAGCTCAGAGGCTGGCTGACTTGGATACAGGCCTCTGTCTCTATTTCTCTCCCCCTGCTCTGGGCCCTGTGAGCTTGTCAGATAGGACAAGGGAGTTATCTCAGTTTGAAGAGAAAGAGGGGAAAACTACTGGTTATTATGCACACATTTCAGTTCTCTAGGTTCGCCCTGTTCCTCAGGGTTACTGAGAGTTGGATATAGTGGAATTCTTAAATAACAAAAAACAAAAGCACCAACTAAAAAAATGAAAAAAAAAAGCAAAACAAAAAACAAAGTAGCATAAGCCAAAATGCACTTGCTCCCAAGTGCACGCCTCTTTAGCTGTAATGACTCCACTTTTCTTGCCTAAGAGAATCCCAAGGACTTGCTTCCACCCTGTTCCCTTTCACCAGAATAGCCTTTATAAATAAAAAATAATTTTAAAGAGAATTTCCCGAGGTAAGATGACTAGGTTCTTAAGTATTCTAAACACACAATTAGTCAACTCCAGTTTGGGAAAGGGTGGGTCAAACTCCAGTAACTGGCCCATGGGAACTGTTTTGTCTTTCTATGGAGTCACCATAGAAAGTCACCAGGACTCCCTTTTCTAGTTTCCTTCATCCAGTCCTGAGGCTCTTTCAAAGCCCCTCAACTAGAGATCCAGGAGGAAATTTCAGAGCAAGAGAGAGTCCACTGCTCCTGTGCCAGGAAAGTTTCTGCGTCTGCTTAAAGTTGACCCTCCTTCCTCCTCCCGTCTTCCAGGCAGGCCACCTAATCTGAAAGGGGACTGGCAGTAGTAGAAGCCAGTGCCTCACTCCAGTCTTTCCAGTAAAGAGACTTCGGAGGGGCCTAAGGCCCTGGGATGAAAGAAGCGAAACGGAACCAGGATACCCTGAGGCGGGGACACAAAAGACCTGTTTCATTATCCCCAAACCCAGGGAGGGGGAGAAGTAACTGGGTGGCTTCCTCCACCTCTCCCGGATTCAGACTCAGCAAATGCGCTGCGCGCCAGGACTCCCGCCCCATGTCCAGCAGCCTTCCCCCGACCGTCCCCCAACACACACGACGACCCAAAAGGACTGACCTGCCCCTCGTTTGGAAGGAAGGGGGGCGCCTGGCGAGTGGCAGCAGGGGCCCGTGGTCTCGGGGGGTGCAGGGTTCCCCCTCTTCTCATCACTCCTTTTCCTCAGCAGTCCTCCTTGGCCCCCCGCGTGACCCCCCACACCCCCAGCCAAAGCGAGCGTCCAGCCGCGACCCCCGGCTGGCTACATTTCGCCTCTGCGTTACAGCGAGGCCGCTGCTTCGCTTCCACGGGGAGGGTGGGATGGCCGGGTACGGCAGGATATAGTGCCTCGGGTCCGGGCGGGGGAGACCCGGACGGGAGACTGTGGGGCCAAGCTCACTCGCCCCCAATCGCTTGTGGCCCGCGGAGTGAGGCCCGACTGGTTGGCTGCTAGTGGCAAACGTGATCTGGGGCAGACTGGGTGGCACCCCCCCCATCAAAAATAGATTCTGGATGGACAGCTGAAGCAGCCAATTGGGGACGGAAGAAGGACGGGCTCCGCCTCCCCCGGCCCTTTTCTTTCGCTTTGTGCCTGGAGGCGGGGCGCCGAGGAAACGCGGTGCGCGGGGTGACGGGAACTGGGAGCCCGCGGGCCCGCGGCGCGGTGACCGCGCGGGTCCCAGCGCCCCTCGGCAGGCCGCCCGGGTTCCCGCTGCCTGGCGCACGTCGCGCGGTGTCCTCTCCCTCGGGCCCGCCCGCCGCGCGCGGCGCCCCCTCGCCGGCGAAAGGCGTGTGCGCCTGTGCGCGGCTGCTCTGGCATCCTGAGTGTTTCCTTGCGCCTCTGGCCCTTCTGGAAGACCGGGACGCCCCCCTGTATAGCCTGCGGGCTCCAGCAGCCACCCCGCGCTCGAAGAGAACCATCCCTACCTCGTTCTTGGTCACGGCTGCTCTCTGGTTGCCTTGTCACCTCGCACTTCCGCCAGATCCCGCGTTCCTCTAAGCAGATGGCTCAGCCCGGACAGAACCGGCCTTAAGTCCCGGCCTTGAAAGGGGTGGAGATGGGCGAGTGGGAGGGAAAGAAGTCAGACTCACGGCTGGAGTCCCACACTCACCACCTGAGGTCGGGGCGGAGTGGAACCTGGCTTCCTCTGACCCACTGATCCTGTGGCAGCGTGGGAAGAGATGTCTCCATCCCCGGCTAAACGAAATCCAACTTTCCCTGACGCACCTTGTGGGATCAAAGAGAGGTGTTCCCTTTTCGCCTTTTGCTACTTCCTCCCTGGGGTATCTCTACCGATCCAGCGCAAACTCGGTACCAATTCTCTTCGGGATGTTTTTGTGCAAGGGGTGCGACCTCCCCCAGAAAGGAACCACCACCCTCAGGTTTTCCCCTCTTGTCACTGGAACCTGTGACCAGTGGTTCCTTCCTGTCCTTTCCCTCCCGGAAAATGGCTCAGGGGGCACTCGAGCGTGACTCCAGACCCCTGGATGGGGTTTGGAATAGAGGTGTGACAGAGAGAGAGAGTTGGGGGTGGGGGGAGGGGAGGGAGGAAAAGAGAGGGGAAAGAGAGCGAGAGCTAGAGCGAGAGCGCGCTGAGCAGGTAATTTCCTTTGGATAAGTATAACAAACACATACAACCCGGCCCCCCACCTCCCACTCCTTTATTTAGGATTATTCCAGTTTAGCTGCTGGGACATTTGCATCAATGGCCTGCAGTTTCATAAGACCTAGCAGAAGAAATGTCAGTGTCTTCTTAGAACTCCAAGTTTGGCTTCTAATACTGGGTCTCAGCCTGGAGACAGAAGTAGTGGCTGTACTAGGAAGCAGTGGGCTTCACCCCAAAGGATCCATTTTTGAATAGAGGGTGTAGGGTTGGTTGAGGAATTAAGGTTGAAGTACCCGGAAACTTTTCAGTCAGGGGTTGGAGACAATTCCTGCCCTGCTCCCTTCAACAGTCCTCTCGCTCCCTTTTCATCTTGTCACAGTTCAGCTACCTGTATGTAAAATCTTGATCTCTCTCCTATTCCTTTCTCACTTTTATTTTTTTTCCCAACTGGAAACAGTTCTCCTCTCCTGTGTTTTTTAATTAATCACAGCATACCAGACATGGAACGAGTACACAAAGTCTTAGTGTAAAGACCAACAAGTTATGATGATACAGTGAACATGGGTATATAACTTTCACCCAGATCAAGAATTAAATAATTACTAGCACCCCAGAAGCCCTCCTTAGATCCCCTCCCAGTCAGTACCACACCCTCCTTCCCAAAGGTAACCTCTAACACCACAGATTAGTTTCGCCTGCTTTTGAACTTTATATAAATGAAACCAGTCAGTAGGTATTATTTTGTATGTGGCTTCTCTCACTCAATATTATGTTTGTGAAGTTTATGCACAACATTGTGGTGGCAATTGCTCATTCACTTTCATTACTGTACAGTATGCCATTAAATGAATATACAAGTTATTTCTCTATTACTCTGTTGATGGACATTTGGGTTGTTCCCAGTTTGGGGTTCTTATGAATAATGCTGCTATAACAATTTTGTTTGTGTCTGCATTTCTGTTAGATGTATACCTAGAAACAGAATTACTGGGTTGTAGAGTAGGTATATGTTTAAGTGTTAGTAAATGCTACTAAATAATTTTCCAAAGTGCTCATATTCATTTACACTCCTGCCAGTGACATCTTAGAGTTCCAGTTGCTCTACATCCTTATCAACACTTTGTCTTGTCAATCTAAAAAGATTTTAAAAATTTAGCCATTTGGGCGGGTGTGTAGTGGTATCTCGCTGTGGTTTAAATGAGATAGCCAATGAGGTTTAAGCACCTTTCATATATTTATTTGCCACTTGGCTATCTGTTCAAGCATTTTGTCCATTTGGCGGGGGTGGGGGGGGCGGGTAATTTTCTCTTAGGCTTCCTGTCTTATTGCTTTGTAGGAGCTCTTTATGCATATCTCAAATAGGTATTACAAATATTTCTGTGAGTGTATAAATACAGAAGACCTCAGTTGGGGGATCTTCTGAAGCTTCAGAGCCATTGGTACAAAACTATATGATCTATTTCAATCACTAGCGTATTCCCAGCTCCTGGTGCTTAGTAGGTACTCAATAAATGTGTTGAATGAATGAAATGGATGAGATGGATGAGATTCATCCAGGTAGTTTGCCATGTGCTGTGCTGATCCCTAGGGTGAAAACGAAGAGGGACTAGAGGGATCAGATTTCCTTCCAGCCCAGACAGCTGTGATTCTGGGAAGGGGAAGACACCCAGCCCTTCCCTACTGAAAAAGCAGAAATAGCTACTATCCGCAAAGAGAGAAGCACGGATGTAGGGAGCAGAGGTCACAGATGAAAAGACAGGAACTAGTAGCAGGTAGCAAGCCAGCCAGAAGTTTCAGAAAGAGAGACTTAGGTGGGGTGGAGAGAGTTGTGTCAAGGAGACAGTGAGGGTGAGCATAACAGTGGACCTTTATGTGGCAAGAACCTCCAAATGTCAATTAGGCTCTCCTCCTCCCAGAAGGCATGCCCTCTCCTAAAACTTGTTAGCCAAAGAGCGCTTCTATCCTTAGAAACATTTTTCCCTCTCTGAAGGAGGTGTCTTTGCAGGGTCTTTTTCCTACCCCCTAATTGGGAAATCTTTTTTTTTTTTTTTTAAATCAGATCTGGCTTCAACTTTTTCATGGCCTGCAATGTCCAACCTGAAGATGGGAGACCATTAAACCCCTTCTTTTCCAGGAGGTCTTTTCCCAGGCTTGTTGTACTCTACAGCATTTTTCTGCCACTGTCTTTTTCTCCAGTGTTCTCTCCTCCTCCTTTCGCTGTAGCTGCTACCACGTCAGGTCAGAAGTCTCTCACCGACTCCCATTACTATAGCAGAGAGATTTCCTTCTTGCAACACTCTAACAAACTCACAGCGTCCCGTCCCCAGGTTTTTCAGAAGGCAATGAGGCTAGTAGTAGTTCCGGAATTTTCTATATAGGATGAACTTCGAGTAGCGGTCTAGTTGGAGAAGGGCTAGGTGACATGTCATGAAATGGCTTTTGTGTAGCAAATAAAAGGTTTTCACTTAGAATATGAGATTATTGGTGGAGGTGGGAGATTTGGGGGAGGTGTTGCTGACTGCCAGGGCCCTGTGGAGAAGCCCGAGGAACGCATTTCTGTGGGGCGGCCTTCTTCAGTCTTGCTTGGCACTTTTCCTATTATGTGGTTCATTTAGCCTCCATCCTGAGGTCCTCCAGCCCCTACTGCTTTCCTTCATAGACAGCTGCTATCTACCAGTGGCTTCTCCATGGACCAACTGGATACTCATCCTGAAACATTATAAATTTCCAGAGCTCTGTAAATCCTGGATCCCCTAACCAGTGTGGTATAGTCACAAGACTAGCCCAACATGGCTGGAAACTTTTCTGTCTTTGTTTCTGCTGGGGGAGGGTACCCCCTCCCATTTTTCCCTTGCCATAACCCCTCCCCTGCTATCTCCCTCTCAGACGTCAACTTCTTTCCTGCTACCCAGAGCTAAGGTGATATCCCCTTCCGGCTTCATTCAGTTCTAGGAGGATGTGGTGATGGGGGTGGGTTGGGGAAGTATGGCCATCTGTGCTCAGAGCTAGTTGGCCTCACTTTACCCTTTGCTTCTGTCTAACAAAGTTCCCCTTTCCCAATGGCCCCTGGATTCCCTCCCTGGGATTCCTCTAGGCAGGATCGTTCCAGGTATTTTGGAGCTGCAGTTCTGAAATGACTGGGTATACCTGGGAAGACTTAGCAGCAAGCAAAATAGTCTGGTGAACTATAACTGGAGGTAGAGAAGTAATCTTTAAGAGGCCGAGTGGAAGGTGCTACAGCTTTGCAATCACATGAGTTTGAATCCATGCTCAGTCACATAAGGTGTGTATCTTTGGGCAAGCTCCTTTATGTCTCTGAGCTAAATCTATAAAATAGAGGCACTACTCCCTTTCTCAGACATGCTGTGAGGATTAGAGATTATACAGTATTTGGAACATTCCGTGCACATAATAGGAATATTATGATTTCACTGAAAAGAGCCACAAATAGGGACTAGGCATCTGGAAGGGGCAGCTCAGGCTGTCTGGGATTCACACTGAAGTCTAGACTTCACAGAGTGTGAGGGCACTCTTAACTGCAAAGGGTTGAAGACGGGCAGTCTCTGCACCAGTGGGTGCTGGTGGGGAGCCTATCTCAGGAGCAGCATCCCCAAAGTGGGCCATCAGCCAAATATGAATAAACTTTATCTTTTCAGAGCCAGGATGCAAAATGTTGTATTTTGCAAACCAGATTATCTAGTTTCAGACTGCCCTCTCTGTTTACTGCCATTCGATTATCCTCTAGTTCAGGGTTTCCTAAACTGGCTTGGTCACAGGAATCCCCTGTGGGTACTTGTTTTAAAATATAGATTTCCAGGCCTCTCTCTTGGAAATTCTGTTTCCAAAGATCTGAGGCTGGGCCAGGAAATCTATCCTTTTAATTAGT